CATTTTAATTAACAAAAATAAAATCCAAAGAACTTAATCTACATCTAAATCTATGATAAATTTTTTTTCATTAAAACTGAAAGTATCAATTTATTTTTGGATTGTATTCTATCACTCAAGAACTGTATCAAGATCTAAATTGAAATAAATCAAATTATATCTAAAAAGTAAATGGTCAAATCCTGTCCGCTTTATGACTGTCATTACTTGACGGACTGTCAAAATATTTCACACATGCCTTCACAATTTCAGTGTCGCAAGGCAAACTCCGAATCTAGAAAGTAAAAGTCTGTTTGGGAGAACAGTGTTCGAAACCTGTTTGCTTTCTATCTCTGTCATTACTTTGTTATTTGTCAAACTATTTGGCATCTGTCTGCTTTTTATAATGGACGATGTGACATGCTTAGGACTTATGTCTGCAAATTGGACTTTGAGAATCAACGTCAAATTCGATTCGATTTGTCCATTTTTCATTTTGGTTTATTATAATTATTGTTTTATTCCTTCATGTTTTATCAAAGTATATGGCAGATGACTTCTACAGGTTCAGAAGGTGTGTCTTGCGAAACACCAAGATAAAAATGGTACCTTTAGACTAAATGATGGACGTACAAATCTCTAGTGGTAAAAGAGATTATGACTCAACTATTTTTAAACAAACTACATGCCTAGTATTCAATCCATTTACAGTTGGACGTCACGTTTTCCCCTTGATAAAACATATGAAAGATCAAGATGGAAACTATGATTGGTAGTTTGTAAACATACCGGAAGTAATTTGTTGTCTTCTGTTTTGTTTGTTGGTAATTTAAATGTTTCTCTGCCTTCCATTTATAAGTGGGGCGGGAAATAAGGTAACTGCTGTCAAAAAAGTGCAAATGTTGATACAAGTATGAAACTTTTAGGAAATGAGCTTTAGACAATGGAGATTTCAAAAGTGAAGTGGGCTTTAAATACTTTTGCTCATACAAAATGGCTGCCATTTTCAAAATGACGCCATATAATACCGACGTATATAATAGCTCATTCAGTGAATTTTTGTGTACAGACCTGAAACTTACACTAAAGCATGTATAAAGTTGCTACTATATAAAATTTCAAATCCTTTTAAAAAATCCACTTTTATACCTCTTCAGGATTAAAGATGGCGTCCAAAATGGCCGTCAATTGAATGCAAAACTGATATATCTCTTTTTAGCCTAATTTGTATCACATATGATGCATATTTTTATAAAAAACAAAACGTGTTTAAACATATTAGAAATAGTCATCTACAATGTAAACTACAATGTAATTGAAGCTTTTTAAGTTTTTTTCAAAAAAAAAAAAATCTTTATGAATATTAAAGAAAAAGAGCCAATATTTGCCTATTTCTTGAACATGGCTTTCTAATAGGACTATGTACAAAACTCAAAAAGTTCTTTCGTCTCTTAAAATGTATTGAATATTCAATTAACACTATATTTCTTTGAAGATTTTAAGACAGTTTTAAGTCTATGAAAACAGAAGTAACATCCCAGGAAAAAACATTTAGACTGCAGGAGCATGATTTAAAAGCCTGCACCAATGAGCACTTAATTTTGAAAGACTATAAGGAATCATATTTCAGTCCTTTTTGAAGGACTACAATGCTTAGAGCTTAGATATTCAACATACCGGTATAACATTGGCAAGTAGAATATACCTTTTTAAAAGTTACATAAAACGCTATTTGCGTCACGTAGTGTAGATAGATTTTACAAAATAAAATATTTAAAGAATTTTTCGCAAAAATCAGAATGCACAGAGCATAGATACTCAGCACGTATCATCATCTTGTGTCTTTAACATATTTTATCAATCATGAACAAGATGGTCAAAATTCATCGTGCACCAGGGCTCACTTAGTTTATATGCACTCATATAGGAATATAGGTATTTAAGTCATGTGATTTGTGGAACAATTCTGAGAAACTAGATATTGAGCTGTTTCTTTTAAAACATCCGAATACAAATATTTCACAAATCACATGTAATGACAAAACTGATACACTTAATATCTTATTACTTACCTATATGAAGAATTGTGACTTTTTTCCAACAATGAATCTTAGTTGCGTGATCTAGGGTCATCATTGTTCTCTAACTGAATGAATTATATAAAGAGATATAAATCATAACTAAAAATACAGTCATTTTATATTTTTAACTCATCAAAACTGTATGTAGGTCAGGTAATATCATTGATATAGTTGTTTCACTTTGCATAGATGAGATGATGTGACAGTAGCCTTATATTTACTATATTTAGATATCGAATGCAGATATCATTTTCTCATTTGGTCAGCTATAAAGCCATTTTTATATTTTCATAAAAAAAAAATGTGAAGGAGGTAATTATATGCGTTAATGTACAACCTTTATACTATTCATTCATGTACAGGTTTGCTATTTAAAGCATGTTTGTTGATTTATATTCTTCTGCAAACAATTTATAAATAATATCAAAGATAATGAAACAAGTATTATCACACAACCATGTTTATACACATTTGATTGCATGTGCATTTATTGATAATTTAATTCACCAACTTGACCCAAAGGATGACAAAAAAACCTTTGTTCAATAAAGAATACTTTTTAATAGACATACTAGACATAAGAAATCACAGAAAAAAGAGAAGAAATGTAATCAACTGACCAGTGTCAATTTTCTTGTTTTTCTTTTATAATTATGGGATAAATTTACCCCACCCACTTTGACAAAATATAAAATCTACAGATAACATTTTTACAACAAAACACTACTGTTAATTGAATGTCAAATAAGGAATAAAGTATTTTTTTTAAATTTTGTATACAGATTTAGAAAATCAATATAGAGAAATATGCAAAAAATAAGATTTTTGTTGATATCTTTAAAGATATTTTTAGACATAAACTTAAAAATCTTTACTTTCATTACAAGGTACACACAATTTGATAATTTCTAAATATGTTTAAACACCTTTTTATCGAAATTAACATAATTTGTGCTACACATTTTTCTATAAATATGATGTAACAGGTTTGCATAAAATCGACGGCCCAATGGACGCCATCTTTGATTGTGAAGAGGTATGTAAGTGGAATTTTGTTAGTCTAAGATTAAAATTTTTGTAAAGGAGACACACTTAACATGCGATGTAAATTTCTGGTCTACAAAATGAATGAGTTATTAATGTATGTCAAATTTATATGAATGCGATTTTGAAGATATCGGTCATCTTGAATGAGCATAGATATCTTTTGGCCCACTTCATTTTTGAAATCTACATGATCTAAAGATAATTTTTTGAAAGTTTCATGCTTGAATCGACATTTGCACAATTTCCGCCACTGAGAAATTCTGTTGTGGTTTTAAGGTTTTTTTATTATGATCATTTATGTATTTTATGTGTCAGCATTCTGTATCCATAGTAATTCTTTCACTTGGAGGGGTTTACACAGGCTCGTATTAAGGTACGTGGTGGGGCTAAGAGTGTGGTTTGATAGGCCACAACCCGTCTAAAACTCCCTAGTTATATTTTGCTATTAAACTTTCTAAGGCAGTGCCCATCTTGATCCTTTTTAAATCTTAACTAATTCTAACCATTTTGTATAGGCGTTCACATATATTTTCGGCTATCCCAACCATATACTCATTCCTCCACTTATGGTCATACTTCATCTCACATTTGATCCATCAACCGCACCAATTGCTTTCCCCTGTCCGTTAAGTGTCCTTTTGGTACCTTTGTTTCTGACATTATGGGATTGGCATTTTGTAAAAGTTGCTTTTCCTTGATGAAATTTGTTTTATATTTTCATGCTATCCTTGCAAAATACTAGTAGTCACGAAGATTTAATTAATAAATATATTTAAATCAAAAGTTGATTAACGTCCATGTTTATCGCTACCTTTTCTTATATTTCATTGTGACACCATTTATAGGACAGTATAAATAGGATACTGCCGGGGAAAAAGAAATAAGTATCCAGATTTGCTGTTCTTTTTTATCGATCCAAATATCATCCAAATATCTTACATCGTCTTAATAATGCCCATTTATTGTATGTGAATGATGTTTAATATTACTTTCCAAAACGATGTTAAGATAGCCATGTTTAAATGTTCGTTATCTTAAAGATTTCTACTGTCTCAAAGCATCATATTTTATTAAATTTGTAGACAAATTGTCCAATATTTTTAGAGAATTGTTATGTTTATTAGTCCCCTACCGGTTTACCGGAGGGGACTTTAGGTTTACCCTCCGTCCGTCTGTCTGTCAGTCCGTCCACAAAACTGAATCCCGCGATAACTTGAAAAGTACTTAAAATATTTTTATGAAACTTGATATATAGATAGATGGCAGTATGGAAATTATGCACGTCTTTTTCTTTTCTTCCTATGTTGAAAATTCTGGTTGCTATGGCAACAAATAGGCTGAAAATATGGCAAACTTTACACATAAACTGGATCCAGTGATAACGCAAAAAGGACTGGAAATATTTTTATGAAACTTGACATATGGGTAGATGGCAGTCTTGAGATTATGCATGTCTTATCTTTTCTTCCTATTTTGAAAAAATATTGGTTGCCTTGGCAACAAATAGGCTTAAAACATGGCAAATATAACAATATAATATTATGTGATTAGTAAAAAAGAGCTGAATTTTTTTATGAAATTGCATCTTTAATTCAAGAGTTATCTCCTCTTTAAGAATTTTGCTTTTAAAAATGTTATATTTTGGTAACAAGGATATTTCAAATATTAACTTTAGAGAGTCCTTCAGTCCGTCTGTCTGTCTGTCTATCTGTTCATAAAGACTGTTCCCTGTGATCACTTTTAAAGAACTTTTCCGACAAATTTACTTAAAATAGAGAAAAATTGAAACATTAGTGAATGGCCAATGGCCCTTCAGAATGTTGATGGGGTTCTAACCGGCAGGGGACTTATGGATTGCTTGCAATACTATGATAATTGCTTGTTTATTAACAGATGCTGCTATAACAAATTATTGACAAAAGAAGAAGGAACGAAAATGACACAGGTGCCAGAAAATCGGGTCAATTTAATTCGTTTGCAGATGTTAATTATTGATGGAGGCCAGTCTGTTTTGAGAGATATTGTTGACAAGACACTTATTGCGCAAGGCACAACTCTAAATGCATGTTTGAATCAAGAGAAAACAAAAATTATATATTTGAAAAGTCAAAGAATTATTTCATCGAAACAATATGACATATTTTTTCCAACCGGTGGGAAAATTCCAAATACGACAGATATGGACACCACACTTATCATTTGTCTTCTAAGGTCTCTGAAGTGTTTTCGACTGAATGGCAAATTTGACTGGAGAGCAAAACCAAAATCAACCGATCTATCAGTTGAGGCAGATTTATATCGGTTAAAAGATTACCGAAATGAAGTAAGTTCTTTTTGAAAAAGTAGTTACTATATGAAAGTTTTCATTGTGAAAATAGTATATTAACATATATATTCTGGAAAGCAAGTCGACTATTTTAAAGGTACTGACAAAAATTATTTCATAATTTAATCTCATCGGGACAAAGTGCATTGATTAAAAACACTTTTTCTTGAGTCGAATTGCATTCTCAGGAACAATATTTTGCAGTGTAGTTCATTGCATCTATGAGTTCTTTTCAAACACATACTTTGATATCGCTATATAAACAGAATTTTTCTCTTTGTTTATAATTTTCTTCGCATTTCCTTCAAACATGTTCAAATGTATCATGACCTGCATAACACAGACACATGCGGGGATGAATTTTCTACAAAACTTGTAGTGCAAATTCTCATTTCAGATAAGTCATATCAAGACAACAACTGAAATACAACCAAATGTTTTTGTCAATTGGTGGAATGACATCGAGCAGGTGAGCTCAATGCTTTTGAGAAAAGTGTTTATCTGTATAATCTTTCAATTCATATCCCCTTAAAATTTGTCCAAAATTATTATTTTCCATTTGAAATAAAGTAGGTGATTATATTTTAAATCCTTTAGAAATGAATAAAAAAATTGGAATTCAGTGTTTCCTTACGTCATATGTTTATTTCATATGAAATTACAAACAACTTATCTGCTCGTTCAGTGCGTTTGGTCGCTTTCGTTCTCTTTGTTATATAATACATCGCAGAAAGCATGTAAATAATAGGTTCCTAATAGAAACTTCAAATAACATTTCAGAAAACAAAAGCGTTTAAACGATTATTAAAGTTTTAAAAATATATATTAAAATTTACTTTTCATCACTTTTTTTCTAAATACGCTCCTGTTTGTTTGATTGTCTGTCAATGAATCCAGGTTTTGTCGGTGTATATATATATATACAAGACGGCTTGTAACATTTCAACTTCATGATTTCATTAAATCTTTCTGAATTTATGATAATTCCAACTTTGATAATCTACGATTTCAACGTACTTAATTCATATACATGTACATTAGGAATTCAACTTCAAGAAATTACGTTTCAACTTTTTATATTCACGATATCAACTTCACTAATTCCATGAGTTCAACTTCATGTATTCAACTCTTTGAAATCACGTTTTGAACTTCACGTTTTCTGATTTTAATTTCATGAAATCATAATTTTTCTAAAAATCACGAATTCACGTCACGTTTTGAACTGCACGATATCAACTTCAGGTATTTACTATTTCGACACTGTGAAATTCATGTTTATTACAATACGATTATGCCTTCGTGAATTCAAGATTTGAAAACCTTGACTTTTTACTGTCATGTGAGTCCGGCACTGGTGACACAATGGTGACCTGATACTGCACGTTCTGAGAACCCCGACGAAATTAAACTGGGTGCTTGTATTTACTTTCATTATCCTTAATTAATTCGTAAATCAGTTTTACAATTTTAGAGCTTATAAACTTATATTGAAATACTGCGCCTTCATCTTTGTGCCACAATTGATGACAGATTATTGTTTTATGTGATATGTTTTCAATACAAATTATTTTGATGATGTCTTCATCTTAATGTAGCTTAATGTGCACGGTTTTGTCCACATCCTATGTGTGTCACTCAAACAATTTTGACGATTAGATGTGTATTTCCACAAAAGAGGAACTACAAAATTTGATTTTATATAAGAATCAGCCATACACAAGATATCATTGACCTAACAACAGATCCTTGCCCCAAAATGTGTCTTTAGTTGCAAATCTAATGTGATTCGTAACAAAACTTTAATAAAAATGTATTTAAGAGTCATATATACATGTTATTCAAGTTTAAGGTATGAACATTCTATTGTCATTGTATTATCTCCGCTTTAAAGAGTATCTAGATAGGCTAAAACTACCGTAAACTACAGTACATTGAAACTAAGATCCGTGGGTTCAAACCCCAGAAGGGGTTTTTTCTTATTTTTTACTTTCAATATTATTTTTGTATCTAAACATCTAAATCTAATAACAAATATGGTACATGTACCTGATTTTTTCAAGAATCAAAACTGCACGATAAAAGTTTTAAATATTTTACAAAATCATCTCATATATTTCTGAGAAAATTTCGGAAACTATTAAAAGAGAAACTAATTGTTGTAATTAGATTCATCATGTAGGAAAATGGTCAAACACGTGTTAAAAATGGGTGGGTTAGGGTAACAATTTTATACATATTTCATATATTTTGAGTAGAAATAATTATTTTGCTTATGTGAATTGTTAGATGAATGGAACTTTTTGTTTCTCACCTTAATTGGCGTCCGCGCCGAAGCGCGGCGCCCCTTTATGGAATGAAATCAGATTTTGTGAAAGGGCGACAGCAACTTCTCGAGCCTTTTAGTCGGTCATAATAAAAGCCGATCATTCCGAAATGTCGCGATATGTACAATGAATAGCGAACTGGAGGATTTCGCAATGCAAACATTTTCAAATGCAATAACCTTTTCCGTCTCTTCGGTTTTTTTTATTTATCATTTTGTAGTACACAGTGGATTATCATGGTACAAATGTATGTTAAAATAGAATGATGAGTTGATGACGTAAATATTCCGAAAATCTATTTATAGAGGGATGTACTCCTATCGGTAATTCCGGTCTCTCCCGGTCTATTTTGACCGGGATACTATAGTCTGTCCCACCAAATTTGAACATTCCATTTTTTATTAAATATAATAGTGAAATCATTTAAATTAATGTCTTGTTAATCCTGACATCAATATCTCTAGGCATGTTTTTCATTTTTTCCATAAAGTCAGTAATATGGTCAAAATGTTAAAATTATATTTTTTCCCATTGACTTACGTTGTAACCTGACGTGACGTCCATTTCAAAATGGCGGCGCCCATACAGACGTCATTTAGGGTTCGTCTCACAATTATGTACTCGGAGAAATGTACTCGGTAATTATAAAAAATTGATTATTCTTATTTACTTACTGATCCGCTTTATAAATTATAACACACAAAGATTTACATAATTATATAATTACCATATTTAATATTCTTTTTAAGAGAAAAAGAGCAATATTATGAAGTGATTTGATTAGATAGCTTTTCAATCAAGCGCGTATGTTGAATACCGCAACGCGTCGTAAGGGAACGGGAACAGTTAGCTAGAAGACTGAAAAAATGGTTCTTCGCTAATGTTTAATTAACATAATTCTGTAGTTGTCTGAATACTGTCCATTAGTATGTATCACGTCTATTTAAAAATAATTAAATTAACCAGGTTCGATGGGATACAAAAATATGTTACCCTTCTTATTTCGGGTGCGATGTTCGTGCGTTAAAACTTTTCGTAGGTTTTAACTTTCACAACAGAAACCTGACGTATATAAATCACCAACAAATATAACATTAGCATGCAAATATGACAAGAAATATATAAAAAGGAACTGATTCACTATATGTTTAGTTTTGTTGTGCACAGTGTCTACTTTAACTAGCTCATTTGCTAATGAGAGAACACAAACTCGCGTGCGAGGAAAAATGTAAATTATTAGAATATAAAAATGCTTTCTAGTTTGAGCAACCAAACGTTGGCCTATACACTTTAAGCTTGTAAATACAGATTAATTTTCCGTCTCATAATTTAACAAAATGTCCAGAAATACCGGCAGTGTTTGATATTATTAAGAATAAGATTGAATTGGAGCGTTTAATCAGGGACAATAAGTGTTTTTTTTGTAGACTCAAAGTGTTACATACTATGTTAATATGAAGTGGATATCGAGTCAAAGAGAAACACAGAGTGATGTCCTAAATAATTATAGCCTTCCTAAAATTTGAAAATATTCAGTGAAAAAACAATAGCTATACTTTTCGCGAGAGAAAAATAACACCGCATAGGGTATATTTTGTAGCTAAAAGAGTAGGATTTACAGAACTCTTGAATAACGTGATAATTTGTAGGGAAATTATTTCTGAGAAAATATAAAATAGTTTAAAAAACATAAAAGTCAAAACGAAGGTTATATGTGAATTAATGGAAGACCTGTATTCTGTCATATAGATTCATGCCATTAAGTGTGTTTAAAATTATTTAAATGTTATCAAAATTTTATTGTTAATATATGAATTGAAGGTGTACTTTTAACAATTACTGCAAAATCTGGGTACTGTATACACAAATTATTTTAAATGCCATCAAGACAAATTTATCTCGCTTAAAATTATCTTTATGAGGTTACATATGCCTAACCGCCCTCTGCCAATGCCGCAACTGGAATCATCCATAAAAAGCGCGAGGCATTTTTGTTACGTCATATATTTCGTAAATTATTGGTGACGTAATAATGTTTTTTCGTCAGGAATCCATTTTTAAAAGTTATAAACATTGTGCTGTCGAACTAAATTTATGGGCCGTTCTTGAATTATGGATTTGGAACATACTGGATTATGATGTGTTTCATTTACATATTTCATTTGCTAACCCAGATATCTTCACAAATGGAACATTATGTTTTAATAATGAGACGGATTATGAAAAAATCTGGATCATCATAAGTGTAAATGTCATGCCATTCAGGAGTTTCAAAGTCTACGGAACTGGATATAAACTGGCAATGAAGTGATCTTCAGAATGCGAATTTGTCGTGACGTTTATAAAGATCTATTTCGAAACTCATAGGGATTCTATTCAGCTTAAAAGTAAGTGCTATTTCTAGATCTACTCCACAGACTCGATGATCTTGTTCAAGTTGTTGCTTGTTATTCATTTTTTAAAGTTTTCTATCATGCATTGGAACGAAACTGTTACATCTTGTAGATACAGCTTTGTAAAATAATCATGAAACAACCCCGAGAACATCATGTACATTTTAGAAACATGACACGTGCTTTCTCCCGTTCATCTTCAAATGAAGAGTACTTCGGCAATGGCTACGGAAAATAAACAACAGAGATTTGCCGTAGAGAAATGAAACTTTGCTTTTACAAAAAAATTAGACACTTTAGAGAAAAATCCTGAAAAATCTCGAGGGTGACTTTTTTTTAGTTTACAAAAAAGTTTTAATTTTTATTCAACGTGTTTTTATTAATTCATACCAGGCAAAAGTTCATTTCCATTTTTAATGGGACAGACAACTCTCAAATTTATTGATTATTATTATACATAAACATACAATTCGAAAAAAACCCAACAACAACAACAACAACAATAGCATGTTTCATTTTATCTATATGAGATAAAAACAATAAATATGTACAATAATTGTGAAAAAAGGTACATTTTTATGGTTTTAATATGACACTATCAACTTTGAACATTTTATTTAATTTGTTATTCGTGTTTAGTAAAGATGCCGAGGAATTATTCAAAGTTACAAATTAGATTTTATTAATTATTTAATTGATTGATAATTTAAAAATGATAAATAAAAAATACAATGTACATGTACATGGTT